AACATTTATAGTATCCATTCCAACTTCTGCAGCGTAGAATCTTTTCTCTTGGAAAAGTTGTTAGATAACTTTGACCTTTGTGAAAAAGACCACCATAATTGTCACTATCTGTCGTCAATGGCGATAGAAACCAGCCAAAACACCAGCTACCCACCTCAATCTTTCTTTCTCCAATATTCATTGTATCCATTACAACTTCTGCAGCGTAGAATCTTTTCCCCTGAATCGTTCGTTAGATATATTTGACCTTTTTGAATCTAGCTTAAATTTTTCCATTGCTACCAATTAATTTTTGGTTCCAGGCTACCTTCCCCTTTCTCGAAAAGATTCCATTATTCACATGTGTGGCCTTGGTCTCCAGGATAATCTTCCGACGACCAGAGAATTGTCTCCCGAGAACCATTACTATTCTTTCATGTGTTTCCATCTTTTGTTGCTAAATTCTGTCAGCTATCTCCTTTTCCTTTATCGATCCCCGTCTTCCCGGGGCTGCAGCAGATTAGACGAAATAGCTGGCAGTATAGAAAAGGCACTTTCTCTACGTCCATCCGCGAACATCTTTGTCTTCGATGACTTTAATGCTCACCATGACACATGGATGACACATTTTTAAACCCCTATCCATATGATTTCTTTCCGTTACAAGTAGATATTCTGAAAGCATTTGAAAGATTTTAGCATGCAAATCTTCTCCACAATCTGAAAAGTTACAGTGTCTCCGGACACATTTTTGACCTGATCCAGTCTTTCCTATCAAATTATGAAATGAAGTTTATTCTGAACAGTCACTTGTCTAGATCGTTTCGTATTAACGCGAGTGTCCCCCCAGGGCGCCGTCCTAGGACCTACATTGTTTTCATTAACGTGTTTCCCGGTAACATCAGCTCCCAACTTAGCATCTACGCCGAAGGCACAATCATTTGCTCCTGCCTCGAGAGTAAGGCTGATCAGTCCGATAAATTCAAAATGGCAGCCGGTGTCCAAAACAAACTTTAGTCCGTCGTTAAAGAGGACAAAAGATGGCTTCTCCTTGTTAACGCATCCACAACTAAAATTCTATCCATTAATCATCTGAGAGACAACTCTCTACCTTCCATCAACATAGCTGATGATAAACCCCTGGGAAAGTGACTAGTGCCTTCTCAGTTGACATCATTGGAAAGACTATACTGAATCCACTACTAGGTTAGTTGCTAAGATGGTCGGTGTGCAAGAAGCAAAAAAGCAGTCCAACAAGCGTGAAGTGCGAGAGAATAAACAGTTAACATAGAATTTTTTTATGTGTAATATAAATGCGTTACTAATCATTTTGGTCTTTCCTTACTAGACTCTGTTAGCAATACCTTTTTTGTTTGTCGCTTCCCTTCTTCCCAGGACTGCAACATATTAGACATAGTAGATACAGTATAGAAAAGGCACTTTGTCTCCATTCATCTGAGAACATCTTTCTCTTCGGTGACTGTAATGCTCGCTGTGACACATTAATGAAACATTCTAAATGAACTGATGTTGCCAGTATGAGAGACATTAATTTTTTCCATTTCTCAATCCCTTACTCAAATCATGGATTTCCCTACTCGTTTCTCTAAGAAAACCGAGCAACAATTCTCTCTACTTGATTTATCTCTTGCCTTCTCTCCTTGCTCTTGCCGAGCATCACAATACTACCGTCAAGGTAACTCTATGGTAGCTATTGATATTTCGTTACAATTGTCTGTTAAACAAGAAACTCCTATCCATAAGACCCCTTTCCGTTACCAGCATACTGAAAGTGATTTCTTCGTTCGCCACTTATACTGACATCTACAAGCACCCAAATGGAAATTGCGCCACTGAGTTTTATTCCTGGATCACTGCCGGCATGGAGGCTTTCACTCTTTCTCGGAAATAGCAGGTGAAACCTCAATCCTCTCCATGATTCATACCATCATCCCTGTCCGCTATACCACGGAGAAACCACTATTTCCGTCTATATCAGGATGACAGCTCTCATCACAACATGCGCTTATTCGTTACTGCTCGTAACAAACGTAAGCGCTTCCTCGAAGGAGCTAAGTGCATGTTTGCCGAGAGAATGAGGCATCGCATAGCCTCTAAGAACTTTGGCTCTCGTGATTACTGGCGGCTCTGTAACAAGGTATTAATCAGTTCAAGGTGACTATTCTTCTCTGGTTAAATATATTTGAAGTATCATCGTACTCTGCTGATAAAGCAGAATGATGTGTCCGAATTTCTCCTCTCCTTGACTCATCTGAATTATCCCTGCTTAAATTCTCGCTTAGAAATGAATGCTTTTTAAGTGATATGCATATAACCGCATCCATGGTTTCTGCTATCATCTCTAACGTTGATCCCCACAAAGCATGTGGACCCGACGGTATCCCTGTAATCGTCATACAATGTGCTCTCGGACTGGCTTCTCTTCCACCCAAGCAGTATACTAAATGGCTCACTACCTCCTGCGTTCCCCCCTCCAAGAGGCCGTCGTCTGTGGTTCCAG